GAGAGAGAGAGAGAGAGAGAGAGAGAGAGAGAGAGAGAGAGAGAGAGAGAGAGAGAGAGAGAGAGAGAGAGAGAGAGAGAGAGAGCACCCCATCACGACGACACTGACTAATTAAAATGATGCTGAAGATGACAATGGAGATGAAAAATAAGGAGCACGATCTGCAAGACTGCAAGCACATGGTAAGATGATAATGGAGTCTGGAATCGGGAGAAGGGGAACTAAGAGGCAACGGTGGTTTTGTTCTTTGTCTCCTTATTGACTCTGATTGGTTAAGGTGCACCTCGTGGCTGCGCCTTGTGGCGCGAGTTTTGTTTTGTAATGACCTGCAAAATCACAGACTGAGAACTCTGCTGATTTCTGAGTTTTGATGCATGCTAAGTTTCCTGCATATTCTGCTGAGATCTCTTTAGTTTGTGTGTACGCGCTTGCTGGTCCCCGTGTGTCTGTCTGACTGCAGGATTGCTCGAGTGTGTGTGCAACCCGCCCAGGGTACTTGTATGCTAGGAGGCCCTCTGGTGGGTAAACACTCAAGTAGCGGTAGGGTAGGGCCGTGTAGCAGGGTCCACATGACCAGCACTAGGTAGGTATCTTTAGAGGCCGAGTGAATTTTAGTATTCTGGTAGGCCTAAGGTCTAGGGGTACCAGTCCAGTAGTCTGAGTCTAGGGCCTGTAGCTGACGATATCAAACCTGCAATGATCTTTCCCTCCGAATGTGAGGAAGATACTGGTTACTCGGGAGGCAGCGCGGCCTGGAAGTCACCACCAAAGAGAAGTTGCTCGGTATATCTTCTGGGAGCGCTAGGCTCTTCCTCATTTGCAGTTGGTGTCACGCTCTGTGAAGTCACATCTCTAGGCACGTTCTACCTCTTTTTCTCCCCGTCTAACCCACTCTGGGAAGTCACTGCTCTACCGCTCTGGGAAGTCACGCACGAGTGGTCGGGGGCTGCGGATGATGAGGACTAAGCCCCCCCACTCAAAAAACGACAAGAAGAAGACAAAAAAAACACCCCTTTATGCCCCTACACCCCTGAACATCCTTCCCCTACAACCATCAATACCCCTCCGCTGCACCCCTCCCCAACACCACGCCTCCTATCGATGGAAACTCTCTCTCTCTCTCTCCTCTCTCTCTCTCCCTCTCTCTCTCTCTCTCTCTCTCTCTCTCTCTCTCTCGTTCACACACACACACACACACACACACACGTGCGCGCGCAACGAGTGTGGCAGTGTATATTTCCGTGTTATAGTGGCAGAGGCCAACCGCGAGGTTGGAGACTTACATGTCCTCTTCTCTCTCTCTCTCTCTCACACACACACAAAAAAAAAAACAAAAAAAAACAAGTGTGGCAGTGTATATTTCCATGTTCTAGCAGTAGATTCATTCAATTTTWCTCATCCTATCGATGGAAGTACCATGAGGCCAGCTGTGAGGTTGGAGACTTACATGTTCTCTCTCTCTCTCTCTCTCTCTCTCTCACACACACACACACACACAAAAAAAAAAAAAAAAAAAAAAAAACAAACAAACAGGTGTGGCAGTGTATATTTCCATGTTCTAGAGGTAGAATCATTCAATTTTACTCATCCTATTGATGGAAGTACCATGAGGCCAGCTGTGAGGTTGGAGACTTACATGCTCTCTCTCTCTCTCTCTCTCTCTCTCTCTCTCTCTCTCTCTCTCTCTCTGTGTGTGTGTGTGTGTCTGGCGTGCACCCTCCCGTGGGCAGGTTACTGCTAGCTGTCGGTCCCACGAAAGTGTTTGATGGCCAGAAACGCAATTTTTCAACCCCCTCAGGTTTTTGTTTTTTTCTTTCTTGAAAATGAAATGGTATTCAGTAGCCGATGCAGATCCCAGGGCTTGATCCCTAGTTCTCACCTTACCTGTGTACAGTACCTGTGTCGACCCCGAGAGTTGAACCCGTGACCTGTGTATTTGTAACAGTTGGTAGACTGTCGTCGGGTCGGTAGGTAGTAGGGGTTCGATCTGTAGACCTGTCGGGTAGGAGTCTTAGCAAGGTCTAGAAGTGGTAGCTGTAGCTCCTCTGAAAGGTCAAGGTCGTAGCTGCTACAGTACCGAAAGGCCAAGTCCATGGCCTTCCGGAAGGTCCTAGTCCCTTTCGAAGTTGCTCACGTTTAGGCTGAGGCAAGTGGGCAAGTGGTGGAGTCCACCCGTGCTGAGTCAGTAGTCCCAGTCCCAGTCAGTCCTAGTCCAGTCAAGCAAGTACTGCATGAGACTGTGTGCACCACGGGCATGGGAAAAGGGGCAGACCAACGAGATACAGAAGTATAAATCAAGAGGCAGCGCCCAGCCATTCATTCATTCCTGCGTAAGCCATGCGGAAGCGCTGTCATTGTGACTTGTGCGAGGTGGTCTGCAGCGACCCCGAAGACGAAGTGGGCGAGAGAAGGAGCTTAGCCATATAGGGTAGCAGCGGCCATAGCCGCCATAGCTGATAGGAGAGTGTGACGTGTATGTGTGTGCATGTGTGTACAGCGTGATGCGTGTGGGATATCCAGGGTGATCCTGTGTGTGTGTGAACAGAGAGTTGTACAGGCGCTGTGCCGCCATAGCCATTGGAAGTGAACTTGTATCTGAACTGTGTTTCGGTTTCCATATCTCTGAGTTCTGAGTGGGCGATTGTCGCCAGTTTGCTGCGCAACCTGTTTACATGGATGAGAAGTGTGAATGAGAGCGAGTCTGATTGCAAAAAAATCGGAAAAAACAATTCGGCAGTGTGGGGGCCTCCTGACTGCCAGGGGCACCCTCCCATGCCACGGAAATGGGGTTGCCCCCCCCTGCTTGGTGCAACTCGCGGGCCTGCTTTACCCCTGTTGAACTGGGGGTAGGCCGGGGGTAGGGCGGAGGTAGGACGCGGCTCTAAGGTTGGGACCCCCCGTTCTACCTTCCGCCAGACACTCAGGGGTGTCTGGCCTTCCACCTCGGCTATGGTGGAAAGGTCCAGGTAGGAGGAGAAAGAAGGGGTTGAGGAGGAGTGTGGAGGAGGTACTCACCTGGATATGGTAGACTTCATCTTAATGTCCTTGGTAGGTGCTGCACCTGTAAGGTCCCAGTAGGGGTTGGGCTGCATCAAGAAGGCTTCAGGGAAGAGTCAGGCGTGGCGGCCTGAGCGGCAGAGGACATATCTGCTTTTGCTTTGTTTTTTTAACATCAGGGCAGGGGCCCAGTAGTCCGCCATAGCTACTACCTACCAGAGGTGGTTTTAGACGAAGGTTGTGGCTATGGCGGATCTCATGTGCTGCTGGCAGTAAGTGGGAGATTCAGATATTGGTTCTGGTTCAGCCTTTCATTTTTATTATTATTATTATTATTATTTGTTGAAGAATAAGATCGGGGGAGATAAGGAGGACGGAGGTAGTGGCGAGAGAAGGGGGATTTGTCATTGGTGTTTTGCTGGTGTAAGTCTTCTTCTTTCTTCTTTCTGCGTCATTATTTGTCTCTTTCTTTTTGCAAGTTCTTTCATTTCTGTTGCAATTGAACGGCATTGTCTTTGCTTGTGTATTTGCACTTTGGAATAGGCTGGAACATAATATTTTCTTTTTTCTTTTTTTTTTGTTTATTCCTTTTTTGTGCGCATGAGAGAAGCATTGACGGCATGCCACCCACACGCGGAGGGAGAGAGAGAGAGAGAGAGGATGGGAAGCATCTATCTTTTGGCCAGGTTGTTTCGTGGAATTTCAACGGCTCATCAGGAGAGAGAGAGAGAAAAAGAKGGGGGGGGGGGKGGGGGGSGAATGGGCARGGCTTRGGGGGARGKGGGRGGGGGGAGGTTAAAGGTGCACTACGTGGCCCGATCGTTTTTCTCTCTTTTTTATTGTATGTGATTATTCTGATAGATATAGATGGAGAGAGACAGAAGGGTGTGGGAAGGGGGGAGGGTAAGAAGACTTGTTAACAGGGACACCCCCCCACTTTCAGCTCCTGGTTAATTGATCTAGAACTGGTTTAAGGGTTAGGGGTAAATTTTTGGTTTTCTTGATTGTTTATTGTCTGTTTTGGGCTGTTTTTTTTCGTTCCAGGTCAAGGTTGCTGTGTGTCGAATTTGGGGTCATTTGGATTATTATTGGGCGTGGCTGTGCCGGAATTTCTGTTGCCCCAAATTTTGGAGTAAGGTGCACTTTCCCAAATTTTGGAGTAAGGTGCACTTTTGCGTTACAGTTCTATGGGGGTGTTTATTTTTGGGCGTTAGTTTATATGGTTTCCAAATCGGCTGAGAATTCAGGACTCTGCTAACCGCCTGTCCTACTTCCTTCTTCGCCTCTTGGCTCCGCAAGTTGATTTTGCACAAGAGGTAAGTTCACCTCTCGCCCTTTGTAACGTCGCTGTCTGCATCAGGGCTGGTATGCTTCAGGAATGCCGCAATTCATATCTTGCACTGTATTTGGGTGAGGTCGCACATTTGAGTCGTTCTTTTGTTTTCCGCGTGAGGGTGCCCCTTTGTCTGTGAAAGAGAAAAGTCACAATGTGCTTTCTGCGGTTGTTCAATCAGTTTGTCATGGGGTAGCCTCTTTCTGTTCCCCAGCAGAGTCCGGATTTCGTTGCTACTTACGTTTCCTTTGTTTTTGAAGATCCCGATACACCCTCGTGTGCCTGTAATTGCAATATAAAACCATGCATGTCATCGAATGCGTGGAAAACATTAGGGACTTCCCTAGTAGAAAGTTGCTGCTGCTGTCATGCGTGTCGCTCCAGACTATGTGTGGCTGGCTTCTCTCTGCTTAACGGTTGTTTCTTTTCATTTTCGACCTGGATGCTGACTTATCTGTGTTTCCTTTTGGCAGGGCCAAATTTGGGAGGTCTCTTCGGAAGGCAGACGGGGCAGGCACCAGGGTACTCGTACTCCTCTGCAAATAAGAACAAAGCCATCATATGGACAGAGGAGACACTCTATGAGTATCTCCTTAATCCAAAGAAGGTGTGTGGACTCTTTCAGTACACCTCGGAGTCCTTGATCAGGAGTATCAATCAGGAAATGCAGCATGGCCAGTGGACTCAATTTGCGTCCTTGTGCTGTTTAGACAACTTGTCCAATCTGCTTGTCGGTGCATTTCAAATTTGCTCATTGACAAGTTCATTACCGTATGCAGTCCGTTCTGTTGGTGATTGGCTGGCAATTCCTGATCATGGGTTCCCTCTTTTTCGTTTTTCTTTTTTCGTTTGTGGGTTCCTTCTATTTGTCCGCTATGTCCAAAGCAGCGGGAAATATTATTTTTCCCTTCGTTTTCTATTTTTAATCTTATCCCGAATCAAGTCTTGTCCAGCAGTATCCAACGAAAGATTTTTTTTTATACAAAAATAGGTCAAATTATCTACGATCAGATTATTATAAAACAGATTAGCAGTGGTTAAGGGATTATCGATCAGCAATAGACTTGTTATCAAAACATTCGGTAAACCCGACCATCCCACATTACGCACTAATGGTGGAAAATCTCATCTTTTTGAATGCTCGAAGTCACTCCATAGATAAGTAATAAGATAGTGGCATTTATAAGAAAGATTTCTGGAATGATGGCTGAAAAATCGTTGTCAAACATCATGGCTATCTTCTCTTTTTTGGTTGGCGGCCGGTCAAAATACAGAGGCCCTTTAGGGCCCGAATTTTCAATGTGTTGTACTAAATTACTTTTAGAGGCATGCATACACTCTGGCAGCGGTCAATTCCTCTTCCGATCTTATGGCTCTGCATAATTTTCTGGTTGGAGCCAGCTCCTAGAGCAAGCTGTGTTGCCGTTTTTCGGTACGAAAGATGGCGTTGACATGTTGAGTCGTATAGAGTGCGATGCTTTGAAGAGTTGTCACGTTTGCAAGGCGGGCAGTTGAGAGCGTAAAGAGTTTGACCGTCGTATTTCACATGGTATGGTATGCTACGTGTAGCCACTGCAGTGGAACTTGTCTTTCCTGTTCCTGCTGTATTTCAGCTGGAATGCCACGCGCATTCACTTTAGTCTGTCGTTCAGTGGGGAGAGGCCCAAGGCCATTGCATAGGTGCCCAGGGCCAACCCTTTTGAACCAGAGGTCTTGGCTGTGTTTTGTGGTGCGCTTTCCATGGTGTAGATGTCGAGCAGACAGGAGAAGGTTGCCTGCTCGGACAGCAAGTGACGGTGGTGAGGAGGGGACAAGGGATGCTTGTCATCATTAAACTGGATGCCATGAGCTAAACGGTGTTTTCGAGGTCGCTTGGTAATACACAGTTGATGGGTTTTGTATGTACATCTTCTAACTGGGTAGCTTCGTTTTGCTGTCCTGTTCTTAACCATCACAGTATATCCCAGGTACGAAGATGGTGTTCCCCGGACTGAAGAAGGCGCAGGAGCGAGCAGATTTGATTGCCTATTTGAAGGAAGCGACGGCTTGATGGGTGGTGGATGGATGGATGGGGTATGGGAAGGAGCAATGGATTTGAGCAGCATCCCACTTCTGACGTGGTCCTCTGTTTCCTTGTTGCCATGGTGCGCTTGAGAAGCACCCTCAGAGTCTCTCCTTGTACGTTTCGTTGCCGAGTTTTCAGAATTCTTTAGCTTTCCTTTGGCTGGTGTGCCTGCTTTATTCACAAATGGCCTGAATGATGGGCATGGGCAGGCAAGTCGAGCGTCCCTTTCACAAATGGCCTGAATGATGGGCATGGGCAGGCAAGCCGAGCGTCCCTTTCACAAATGGCCTGAATGATGGGCATGGGCATGGGCAGGCAAGTCGAGCGTCTCTTTCCACTATTATGGATTGCAGGTTCGATGAATCAGTAATTTGTTGAAATCAGTAATTTGTTGAAACTGCGGGGTTCCTTCAAGAATGCCTCAAAAAAGGCCCTCAATTATTTCTTTTTGTTGAAAATTAAACATGGTGCCGCCTCTCGGGTTGGGGCACTGTTCTTGCGTCTGTTATCCTTTCCCATGTTTTCTGTTGTGTAATTTCTTTGATCATACTCTCAATTCATGTGTCCCCACCCTCCAGCCTGTCTATCTCCCATCTGCCTGTTGGTCTTTCTGCGATGTCTCAGAATCGTCATTTTCTGTCTATGGGTCTGTCTGTGTGTCTGTGTGTCCGTCAGCCGTTCGGGCTGTCCGTTCGTCCGTCCGTCCATCAGCCGGTCGCGTCTGTTGGTCTGTCTGTCTTTGCCGCCCCTCTCCCTCCCCCTCTCCCCCTCACACCCACCCACCTGCCAGTTTTGCTACGTCCTCCCCTCCTCCAAGACACTCCCAATTGTCAACACCCTGGAGATCCGCCCAACAGGAGGGCAAGCAAATGCCCAGGTGCTTGATTCTGAGGACGTGCACGAGCTCGACTGCTCCATGTTCCTGCTGACTGTGTGGAATCTCGAGCATGCCTCATCATAATCCAAAGAATTCGACCTCCAGAAACTGAAAGAGAGAGAGAGAGAGAGAGAAACTGAAAGAGAGAGAGAGAGAGAGAGAGAGAGAGAGAGAGAGAGAGAGAGAGAGAGAGAGAGAGAGAGAGAGANAAAGAGAGAGAGAGAGAGAGAGAGAGAGAGAGAGAGAGAGAGAGAGAGAGAGAGAGAGAGAGAGAGAGAGAGAGTCGTAGTGTCTACATGTTTATTCTGTCAAAAATGAATGCCATACTACCTGCTCATATGGATGCAGACTTGTCGACCTTCTGGGCTGTCGAAAGGCGAAATGGGAAGTTAAAAGAGCTATGCCTGTACTTTCTGCATTGTCTGCCCATGTCAACCTCACTCACGTCTTTCCCTTGAGTGGGTATGATTATGCATGTGTCACAAGTGCAGTCTTCGTCGTCACCCAAATAGAATGTACCCACCCGGTCACCATGGTGTTTGCGCGCTCTATGACCGGGCACACGGTATCGGGTCGAGGGATGGCCATACCTTTGTGTCTAGCGAAGTGAGTAGGGCTCAGCAGTATCCGAGATCATGATATCCCTGACTGCTAGTTAACCTTCACTGCTGACACTCATCCTTGTTGACAAAAATGCCCTTCTTTGTGTGGGTGGGTTTTCATCGCGTGAAGTGGTTGCCTGCTGCGGCTCCATGTTCAGCAGAGGAGGGGTTGTGAGAGAGGGAGGAGGCCATTGAAGTGCAAAGGGAGGGCGAAGGGAAGGGAAAGTGTCACCCAGCAAGAGAGAGAGAGAGAGAGAGAGAGAGAGAGAGAGAGAGAGAGAGAGAGAGAGAGAGAGAGAGAGAGCTTACACATGTACGTGGGTGTGGTCAGGTACACGTTAACACCATGTTCGGCAGAGGAGGGTGTGAGAGAGGGAGGAGGGCATTGAAGTGCTAAGGGAGGTGCAAGGGGTAAGCAGAATGTCCAGAGTGCGGAATTGGTTGCGAAGGGAAAGCATCACCCATCAATCAGCTCGTTAAGCGTATATGATCTGCCGAAGCCAGCAAAGCATACCCTTGCCACTCAACCCAAGCTGGCTTCGAACGCGCGCGCGCGCGCGCGCGAGAGAGAGAGAGAGAGAGAGAGAGAGAGAGAGAGAGAGAGAGAGAGAGAGAGAGAGATTACAAATGCATGTTGCTGTGGTTCGCGTACACATCCACATGGCTCTCTGTCTGTGTATCTATGTATAAGTGATGTGCTGGAGTGCAACACGGCAGGGAATGTTTTTGGAATGTGTGTGCATGGCAGCCTTTAATTTAGACGGTTGGGTGAAGGGCCCATCCAGACATTCTTTTGCACTGTGCGCTGTATGCGGTGGTACAGTAATGTTTTTGTGCCACGCTGTATGCGGTGGTACAGTAATGTTTTTGTGCCAGTTGGCGGACCTTCGAATGCTACAGAGAAGATCAATATGGGCCTTGCACTCAACTGCGAAACTGCTCAGCATGGCCCTTGCCCCAAGGCACACAGATGTACAGTGGAAACTCGTCAGCACTGCTAATAGACAAACCTGCCATACGGCCTATAAAAGCTTGCGGCCTTCTCCTGAGCCACCCAATTAGGCCTGCCGAGCCTCTGGGGACAATATGAAGAGAGACCCACCTTTTGCCTTAAGCTACCGGTGCCTTTGAGCCTCATTTTCCCTTGCCGAAAAGGAACGGGTACTGGTGCCTTTTTTTCACACCTGTCACCACCGGCCATTTCCATGTGTTGGGCCAATCCCCAAAGGATGCGTTGATGGCCGTGTCAATGGCTGGGAAAGGTACTGGTGAGCTGAGAGATTCATTGATAGTCCACAAAATGATATGAGAGGCGCTCTTCCATGTACACGATCTGACAGTGAAAGCTGAAAGACTGCGCACAAAATGATATGAGTGGCACTCTTCCATGTACACGATCTGAGAGTGAAAGCTCATCAAGACTCGTTTCATCATGGCATATGTTAGCTCATCATCCTCGCATTCTCACACAACATTCATTCTAGAAATCCATTTGAAAACCAACAGACGTGGACGAGCTAGTCACCACGCACATCCTTTTTCTATTTCATCAATGAAGTACAAGTGAAGTATCTTAGCCCCTTTTTGTACACGTTGCACACCTGCTCGAAGCCCACTGATCATCGTACGGGGGCTGACTGTCCGTCAGTCACCGTCAATCGGAACTACAATCATCACCCCATCAACCCAAGCTCACCGCGTGCCCGCCCACAACCCGAGCTGGCTTTGAACGAGAGAGAGAGAGAGAGAGAGAGAGAGAGAGAGAGAGAGAGAGAGAGAGAGAGAGAGAGAGAGAGAGAGAGAGAGAGAGAGAGAGAGAG